CAAATGACAAGTGCTAGTGAGGATATGGAAAAAAGAGAACCCTAGTACACTGGCGGGAATGCAGACTGGTGCAGCCATTATGGAAAACAATAGGGAGGTTCCTAAAAAAACCAAATATGGAACTGCCATTTGCCCACTTCTAGGACTATATCCTAGGAATCCCTAAATACCTATCAGATACAATATACTAGGTGTACTGGTTAATAATGACAGGTTTTTGTAATAAAAGAAAACATGATAATTTTAAGAGAAACATCAAAAGTGCTTTATTCAATGTAATGTCCATCGCTAGCTACACATTTCACCCATCTTTCAGGTAATTTGTGGATACCATCCCAATAGAACTTTTCTTGTTCTGAGGAAAACAATTCAGAGACCCAATTTTCCACTTCTTCGTACCTTTTGAAGTGCTGCTCAGAAAGTGCAGGTGCCATCTATTGGAAAAAGTGATAATATGAAGGAGCAATGTTTGGTGAATACAGAGGGTGGGTTAATACTTCCCAAGCAAGATCTTCTAACATGTCTTTAACTGGTTTTAAAGTGTGTGATGGTGAGTTATCACAAACCAAAATTACTTTGCTGAGTCTTCTGGAACATTCTAGTCATTTCACAATCAAAGTGTGGTTCGAATTGATTACTTGTTGTCGGTAGCAATCAGTATTAATGGTTTCACCTGGTTTTAGAAGCTCAAAGTACACCACACCTTCCTGATTCCACCAAACACAGAGTCAATGTTGATGATTTACCTGAATCAACCCATGATCTTGTGCATTTAGGATTCTCCAAATAAATCCACTTTTCATCGCCAGTCACAATTTGATCCAAAAAAACTTGCTATCATGCCGCTGAAGCAACATTTTACTGATGACTTTTCGGTTTTCCATTTGTCTTTCGTTCAGTTGATGTAGCACCCATTTTCCTTCCTTTAAAGTCTTTCCCAGCGCTTGTAAATTATCAGAAATTGTTTGTTGAGCAATGTTTAATCTTTCTGCAAGTTGTTTTTGATTTTAACACACATCTTCATCTAATAATGCTTGTAATGGTTGGTTTTCAAACTTTTTCGGTTGACCTGGACCTTCTTTGTCTTGCACATCAAAATTATCACTTTTAAAGCATTTAACTAGCGTTCACAAGTATCTTGAGATGGAGCATGTTCACCATAAGCTTCCCGAAGTATTCAGCAGCACTTTTATTCAAAATAATGAATTAAAACTTCCTGCAAATGCTTTTTCTTTGGCACAAAGTTTGACATTTTAAAGCATAAAGATATAGATGATGTTAACACCTTCAGCAAATTTGACATATAAGCTGTTTTGTCAGTACAGTGTCCAGATTATTATGATCTCTGATCGTATAATAATCTGGCCACTTAGTGTATATCCTGTATAATAAAAGGCTAATATGCAAATTGTCCCCTTGACTAGCAAGCAGGCTGGCCAACTGCCAATGTCCCACTGGCCAGGCTGGCAGGACCCCACTGATGCGCAAATTCATGCACCCAGGCCTACAATACACACACACACACACACACACACACACACACACACACACACACACTGAGTGGCCAGATTATTATGCATTCAGAGATTATAATAACTTGGCCACTCAGTGTATATCAACATATGTGTAAGTCTATCTATTGAAAAAAGTTCGCATTATTATCTGGTACACCTAATATGTATCCCTACGTTCATAGCAGGGTAATTTACAATAACTAAGATCTAGAATCAGTCCAAGTGTCAATCAGCAGATGAATGGATAAAAAAATACACATTTACCCCAAATGGAGTACTATGCAGCAGGGACCTCTTTCCTTTTGAGACAGTGTGGGGGGACCTGTGGAGTAGTATGGTAATTGAAATAAGCCAGCCAGAGAAAAACAAGTGTCACATGATTGCACTCGTATGTGGAATCTAATGAATAAAATAAACTGTTGAATATATCCTGAGACATAGGAGCATAGAACACACTGTGGAATTTAAGAGGGAAGATGGGGTGGGTCAGAAAAGATTAACTTAAGAACTGGAATGAATATATTCATAAGCCATGGACACAGACTACTAGTATAGTATGATGAATTCCTGGGGCTGGGATCAGGAGTGGGTCAATGCGAAGAAAAAGGAGACATGTGATACTTTCAATAGTAAAAATTTTCAAAAGTCAATGTCATCCCAGTAAACTGAATTAAGATATTAAAATTTTTTTTAAATGATTGCTTTCTGTTCGGGGTCTTTTGTGATTTTATGTAAATTTTAGATTTTCTTCTAATTCTGGAAACAATATCATTGGAATTAGATAGCAATTGCATTGAGTCATTAAATTGCTTTGGGTGTTATGTACATTTTAATATTGATGTTTCCAATACATGAACACTATTTCCTTCCATTTATTTGTGTCCTCTTTATTTTTTTCAGTGTCTTAGAGTTTTCAGCTTATATGTTTTTCACCTCACTGAATAAATTTATTCCTAGTTTATTCTTTTTGATAAAATTGTATATGACATCCTTTTCTTAATATCTCTTTCTGATCATTGGCTGTTAGTGTGCAGAAATGTGAGAGATTTCTGTGTGTTTTCCTTGGTGAATTGATGTATGGCAAATGAGAGATTATACAATGGTGAAATGATAGTCTCTGTAAAAGCATAGTTGGGAAAACTGAACCAGATCCATGCCAAAAAATGAAACTGGACAAATTATACCATATACAAAAATAAAGTCAAAGTTAATTAGAGTCTTAAATGTAACACCTGAAACCATAAAACTCCTAGAAGAAAACATAGGCACTGAGTTCTCTGAAGTTTGTCTTAGCAATCAGTATCTTTTTCTGTATGTCTTCTTGGGGAAGATCAATAAAAGCAAAACTAAACAAATGGCTCTACATCAAACTTAAAAGCTTCTACAGGGAGAATGAAGCTATCAGCAAAATGCAGAGACAGCCTAGTGAATGAGAAAAGAGATTTACCATTGATATAATGGAGAAGGTTTTATTATTCAAAATATATAAAGAACTCATGCATCTCAACTCAAAAAAAAAAAAAAAGAGTTCTATTTAAAAATAGGCAGAAGAGCCCTAGCCAGTTTGGCTCATTGAATTAAGTGTTGGCCTCCTGATTGAAAGATCCTGAGTTTGATTCTGGTCAAGGGCATGATCCCAGGCCTTGATTGGGGATCATGTGGGATGCAATCAATCAATGTGTTTCACATCGATATTTCTCTCTGTCTCTTCCCCTCACTTCCATTTTCTCTAAGAATCAATGGGAAAAAAATCCTCTGGTGAGGATTAGAAAAATAAAAAGGGCAGAGGACATGGGTAGACATTTCTCCTAAGAGGCAATTTAGTTGCCAGCAGACATATGAAAAGATAACAAAACTAAGCATCAGAGAAATGCAAATAAAAACCAGTTATCCCCTCAGACCTGTAAAAATATATCTTATCAAAAAGTCAACAAACAGCAAGTGCTGTAAGAATATGGAGAAAAGGGAAAACTTGTGCACTTTTGGTGGCATTATTTTTATAAAATATATATTTTATTGATTTTAGAGAAGAAGAGAGATGGAGAGATAGAAACATCAATGATAAGGGGAAAAAAATCATTGATTGGGTGCCTTCTGCACAGCCCACTCTGATGATCAAGCCCGCCAACCGCATGTGCCCTGACCATGACCTTCTGGTTCATAGTTAAGACACTCAACCACTGAGCCATGCTGGCCAGGCAGTTGCATTGTTAACTGGTACAGAAACTATGAAAAACAGTATGCAGGGTCCTCAAAATTTAAAAGTACAACTACCATATGACCCAGCAATTCCACTTTCTGGTATTTCTTTTAAGAAAAACAATTACTAATTTGAAAAGATACATTCACCCTTGTATTCATTGCAACATTGTTTACAATAGCCATGATATGGAAACAACATATGTGTGGAATCAATAGATGAACTGAGAAAGAAGATATTTACACACACACATTCATACATACCTACCATCGAAAATTACTTAGCAATAAAACAATGAAATCTTGCCATTTGTGACAGCATGGATGACCTAGAGGGTATTATGCTAAGTAAAAGAATTTGGACAGAGAAAGATGGATACCATATGATTTTACTTATGTGGAATCTAAAAAAAAACAAAAACAAACAAAACCTAAACAAGTGAACAAACAAAACAGAAATAGACTGATATATTCAGTGAACAAACTGATGATCACTAGATGGTAGTTGGTTGGGGAGATTCATGAAAAAGGTTTAGGGATTAAGATACAGAAATTTCCAGTTATAAAAACTGTCACAGGTGTGTAAATATATCATAGGAAATATAGTCAATCATATTGTAATGTGTATGTTGTCAGATGGATATTAGACTTACCAGACTGATCACTTAGTAAGTTATGTAAATGTTTAATAACTATGTTGTACACCTGAAACTAATATTATTGTATGTTCACTGTAATTAAAAAGAAAATTATTATTAAAAAATAAAAATAAAAACAAGAGTTTGTAATCTAGGGTTCAGTGGATAGAATTTAGAGGTCTCTGAACCTGAATAAGAAAAATTCCTTTTTAGTTTTCACTACCCTCCAACAAAAGTGTAGCATTTTTTCCAGTTTCAAAGGTATGCAGCAAACCACAGTAGTAGTATTGATAACTGACTTTGTTATTATTATAAATCAGATATATTTATGTATATTAATGATATCTCAAAATTATTTACCTTTATTAATACTTCTACTTTTCATGTAATTGTTAGACTTGCTGCTATATTTTTTTATTTAATGAATTAATAAATCACACATAATATGATATCACATTTTTAAAAATATTTTGATAATTTCTATATAATGGATTTCTTTTTCAATCCTATTTATTTTATGTAATTGAAAACATTGTAAACACTGTCAAAGGAGTTCATGGAACAGATCAAGTTAAAACCTCTATTTTAGAAACACCTACATTGAAATTGATTTTCTTATATCTTAACATTGACTTTTTCTTTTGATCAGGTGTAGGTAATAGCAATGAAGGTGGAAGAGGAAAAGCAGGTGCAAAACTTTTCCAAGATTTTCAGATGTTAAGTAGAATCTGGACTCATCCTTGGTGTTTACAGCTGGACTACATTAGTAAAGAAAATAAGGTAAATCAAGTAACCTAAGAATTATTTAAAAGGTATCTGTAGAAGCAGAATAATTTTAGAATAAAGGTTGATATATATACACTTACTGTATATTTGAATTTTCTTTTGATTTGTGGTATAATAATTCATGTATTTTATTTCCAGTTAATTTCTATTTGTTTTTTTTTTTTTCATTTTTTCCCCTTTATATATTCTTTCAGTTAATTTCTATTTGAATGCATTATTATTATAATGTGAATATTAAATGTTAATCTTAACATTTCTCATAACCATACCAAAGTGATCAAAAGTAAGACATTAACATTGAGTTTTAACTGAACAACAGGATTCAATTGGATTTTCTTAGTTTTTGTACTTTTTTCTTTTTTATGATCAATCTAAGATCTCACATTCCATTTAGTAGTCATATCTGTCATGTCTCCTTTATTTTTTCTAATTCATGATAGTTCTTTCGTTCATGAATTAGAAAAATTGACTTATTCTTAAGAAATAAAGGAACATCATTATAATTTCCAATGTAAGTTGAAATAAACTATTAAAACATTCGTCTTTTTTCCCTAGGGATATTTTGATGAAGACAGCATGGATGAATTTATAGCTTCAGATTCTGACGAATCCTCCATGAGTTTAAGCTCCGATGATTATTCAAAGTAAATTGAATACTTTTGTGCCTCGTGTTGACACATTAAAACTCCCTATTTACTGATTGTTCACATAATTGGCAGTTATATGTTTACTATACTTTTCTATTAGTTTGAATTTGTTCTTTTTCAGAAAGAAGAAAACAAAAGGGAAAAAGGGGAAAAAAGATAGTAGCTCAAGTGGAAGTGGCAGTGACAATGATGTTGAAGTAATTAAAGTGTGGAATTCAAGATCTCGAGGAGGTGGTGAAGGAAATGTGGATGAAACAGGAAACAATCCCTCGGTTTCTATAAAGACGGACGAAAGTAAGTCTAATGAATGCTGCCTTTATCATGGAACATTGTTTAGAAATATGTCATTATCATGTCAGTACTTTTTTTCAGTTATTAATCATCCCGTCTTGTTGGCCAGAGGTATGTCTTTTCTCAATTGGTAAGCGTGTAGAATAATCATGGAACACAGGATAATAATAAATATCTCATAACTTTTTAAATAAAAGCAAGCCTTTTCCTCTTTCTGATATTTCATAGGAAAGAAAAAGTATTGTTTATTTACATTTATAAATATAAACTCTATTACTTTTATATATTAGCTTCTTGCGCAGCCTTGCAATGTTGTTTATATTTTTATTTTTATAAATAATTGGTAGAAGTTGAATTCTGACCTAGATACATTCAATCTCAGAACCAACATGGTAATTTCTCTTAATTATGTATATATAGCTGGAAGAATTTCAAGGAATCAAGTATCATTGTAATTGATTTTATATAGTGAAATTTATTTTTAATGGTTTAGTCTTTTTGTAACTCTTAAAAAGTTGTAATTGTTGTCTACTTTAGGTTTCTTCTGTGCCATGTACAGTTTGTATCACCTCTTTTGCTTTTTTTTCTCTTGTGCATGAGTATATAGACAGGGAAGGTTTTGACTGAACTCCCAAAGGCTTGAGTTGTCTTTACCTGTTACCTACCTTTAAAGAATTAGTATTGAGGCTCCCTATTCTCCTGGTACAGCCTGACTGGGTGTCTGCTCTAAAGCTGGGAACAAATATCTGAATATTTGAAATATCAAATATCTAAAAACAGAAAAGTGTAAATAGCTCTAAATAGTTGGTGTTTGGAAGTCATGGAACAAAGCTGTTGACTATGAACTGAAGAGAGATATACCATAGGTGCTAACTAGGTGAATGATCCTGTACTCAAATAAGCTTAGCTGGTCTCAGGCCTGCAATACCTTGATAAACATTTCTCTTTTCAGTAGTTCCTCTTTCAAATAGACAGATGGCAGCCTAACCACAGACTGTCTTCTCTTAGAAACCAGGGAAATATAAAAATTAAACTACAAAATTCCCCTCCTTGTTTTTTTTCTCTCTCTTGTTATTCCATAAAGGCAGTTTGTTTTCAGCATTCAACTTCCAATTACATTTACAGAATATTTTTTTCTAAGAATATTAAAGAAATATTTATAGTTTAATTTAAGGTAACAGGAAGCTTCTGTTATCTCTTCCTTTGCTCTCCCAATCTGCCTTTTTACTTAAAGTTACCCACAGTCTCTCATCTCACAATTATAAAGGAATAGCTTAGAGTTTATGTGTTCCTGGGAATGATTTTCTTAAAATTTACTTGTTAAAATGTTTCTCATAACTTAAAGTTAAGAGATCAGAGAGAGTCAGACTTGCCAGTATGTCTCATTCTTTACTGTAAATGGGCTACATAGAAGTATGCTGAAGTATTGATTCCTTCATCACTTAGAAGTATAGGTGGGGTCTGAGGCAGCTGAGTTATGTCCATAAATGAGTAGATTTTTCCATTTTTCCTGGTGTACTATGTGACTATGATTGCTTTTCATTTAAGCCATAATGTGAAAAGGTTGGAAAGAATTGGGGCAAAATATAGGTGGCTACATGTTGTAAACTTAAAAGTAGACAGGGAAGGCTCTGGGTTCCAAATGACAAACTAACTACTTGTCTAGGGTCTTTGTTTAATTTTAGCTGTGTGCATTCAAATACATGCCATTCATATATAATGTATTTTAAATTTTTTTGCATCTGTTACACATATAATTTATCAGAAACATTTTTCAAAACAAATAGATGATAAAATTTTATTTTTGTTCTGTAGATCTAGATTAACTCCATAGAAGGCTGAGTAGATCATAGTATATGAACATATATAGCTGGTATTATAACTTTTAAAAAACTTAATACCGCCCTACCGGTTTGGCTTAGTGGATAGAGCATTGGCCTGCAGACTGAAGGGTCCCAGGTTCAATTCTGGTCAAGGGCATGTACCTTGGTTGCAGGCACATCCCCAATAGGGGATGTGCAAGAGGCAGCTGATCGATGTTTCTCTCTTATTGATGTTTCTAACTCTCTCTCCCGCTCCCTTCCTTTCTGTAAAAAATCAATAAAATATATATTTTTAAAAATTTTGCTTCCTTACAGTAAATATAAAAACACACTAAGTAGGAAGTATTACAGGGCGAAAATGTTGCACATGGAATTTGAAATGGATATTAAGTAAGTACATAGCTATAATTGAACTATGATATGATTCTCACTGCATATTTCATTATTATTTTATTTTTTAATGTTTTTTTATTGATTTCAGAAAGGAAGGGAGAGGGAGATATAAACATTAATGATGAGAGAGAATCATTGATTGGCTGCCTCTAGCACGCCCCTTACTGGGGACTGAACCTGCAACCTGGGCATGTGCCCTTGACCAGGACGCTTGAGTCCACAGGCCACTGCTCTATCCATTGAGCCAAACTGGGTAGGGCATATTTCATTTTTACTTCAAAGAGTTGGTGTTTAATCATTTACAGAAGATTTTCGAATTTTCTGAGAAGCAGAATCTTGAATAAGTCATTTTAGTTTACCTTACAGCATCATTAATTCTGTGTTTCAACATTGTTTTAGAAGGACAGTTTTATGATGTGAAATTTGCTGTGTAATTAAAATATTCAGTTTATTAATTATCTTGGTATTTTTAGAGTACATTTTAAAATCTATATAATTTATTGTATGGATATCAACTTTTGCGTTAGGATCCTTGTATGTGATATAGGACCATATATTTTTTAAAAATATATTTTATTGATTTTTTACAGAGAGGAAGGGAGAGAGATAGAGAGCTAGAAACGTCGATGAGAGAGAAACATTGACTAGCTGCCTCTTGCACACCCCCTACCGGGGATGTGCCCGCAACCAATGTACATGCCCCTGACCAGAATCGAACCTGGGACCTTTCAGTCCGCAGACCGACGCTCTACCACTGAGCCAAACCGGCTTCGGCGATATAGGACCATATTATTACCAGTATTATATAATATACAAGAGGCGTGGTGCACTAGTTTGTGCATCAGTAGGGTACCTCGGCCTGGCCTGTGGGATAGGGTCAAACTGGCTCTCCGACAGCCCCCAAGGGGTCCCAGATTGTGAGAGGGTGCAGGCCAGGCTGAGGGACCACTCCAGTGTATTATATGATTGTGGCCGGGGAGGGACATGGGAGGTTGGCCAGCCGGGGAGGGACCACGGGAGAGCTCTAGGGCGTGCTTGGCCTGTCTCGCTCAGTCCCAATGGGCCAGACCCCAGCAGCAAGCTCACCTACTGGTCAGAGCATCTTCCCCCTGGTGGTCAGTGCACGTCATAGCAACTGGTTGACCGGTCAACTCTCTGCTCCCTGGTGATCAGTGCACATTATAGCCAGCGGTTGAGCAGCCTTAGCATATCAATGAACAAAATGCATTTATGGAGCTTACCATTCTACTAGTACTACTCACTATTTTAATGATATGCTACCTGATGAAAGTTAACACACAAAACAAACAGCATGATTTGATTCTTAAGAACTTCAGATAATAGAACTATTTTATAAAGACTGTAAAATAAATATCCTTATAGTGATAATTAAAAAATTATAAACGTAATTTTATGCTGGCAGACAACATTCTGGGAAAATACAACACCATTGAACGTTCATTGCAGTTATTTCATAGGTTTTGTAACTTGAATGGTTTGGAGTTTTTGTTTTAATCCTTACCTGAGGATTTTTTTCCATTGACTTAGAGAGAGTGGAAGAGAGAGAGAAATTTTTTTGTGAGAGAACCACATCGATTAGTTGCCTCCTACACAAGCCCTGACCAGTGCCTGGGACAGGGAGTAGCCTGCAACCGAAGTATGTGTCCTTGATCAGAATCGAACATGGGACCCTTCGGTCCACAGGCTGATGCTCTATCCACTGAACCAAACCAGCTAGGGTGGTTTTGTGACTTTAAGCAAAATGATGCATAATGAAACCAATTTTACCCTAGGCAAATAGATGTAAACAGCATTAAGTTCTTGTAGTATCTTGTCAATATTATAACAAAACAACATTATTCAAGGACCTGCTCTAGTTTAAAAACATAATAGTGTACAATTTAGGGATACAGATATAGTGAAAATATTAAACATACACAGAAATGATAAACATAAACTTTAAGGTTTTAGTTACCTCTCCAAAAGGAGGGAGGAAAAGAAGAATGTGATTGGCTAGTGTCACATATTAGAGTTCAGGTGCATCAGAAGCAGATTTAACAAGTGTTACAATTGGATAAAAATGGGATATGGGAACATGGCTGTTTACATACATTTTTGGATATGTAAAATACTTTATAGCAGAAATATATAAAAATGTAAAATACTTAACATTAAAAGGCAATTGGGCAAAAACAGGTTAAACCTCATTCCTCATTTTGCATTGAATTATAGTCAAAGTTAGTGTGCAAATAACAAAGTTAATATGATATGAGGATTCTGGGATAAATGTTTGCTAGAATTCTAGTAGCACAGTGAAATGTTTCTTGCCCCATGAACTCAAGATCTTTTCTCTCTTGATTTCCGAGTCAGTCTGTCTCCCTCTCTGCTTCTCTTTGGACATTTTTCTTTCCCAGTCTGTTTCTTGGGATATGTTTTGGGGTTATTATCTATCTGGGCTTGGAGGTTTCTGTCTCTTAGAGTTTCTGTCTACCTGAGTGCTCTCTCGTGTGGTGGTCTTTTTTCTCTCTCTGGGCATGAGTGTACTGTGTGTGTGTGTGTGTGTGTGTGTGTGTGTGTGTGTGTGTGCGCGCATGCGTGTGTGTGTATGTGTGTGTCAGTTGCTTCCCTCTCTTGAATTCCTATGTCGCTTTCTCAAGCTTTCTCTGGGTTGGTCTATATCTGTTTTCTTGGTCTCTTTCTTAATCCCTCTCGGGATCTTTTAGTTTTTTTTTTTTTTTTTTCCTTATTTGCCTACTTATTTATGTTTCATTTATTTTATTTAGGTAAAGCTACTTCCTCTTCTAATCCAAGCAGCCCAGCTCCAGACTGGTACAAAGATTTTGTTACAGATGCTGATGCTGAGATTTTAGAGCATTCTGGTAAAATGGTACTTCTCTTTGAAATTCTTCGTATGGCAGAGGAAATTGGGGATAAAGTGTAAGTTCTTTCCTATTCTTTATATAAACAAACTTTTTGATAACCTTTCTATTGTTTCAACAGCTTATTTGAAGAAATGTGTTTTCTTCCTTTCTAAAAATGTCATTTACTTTGGTTACTATAGTGATAGACAAGTCCCAATATCTTCCTTCTAAGCCACTAGTTCTAACTTCATATTCTGGTTATTTGTTTAGTGCTGTTTTTCCCTTCTCGTTACTGCTTCTAAAATTTATTTTATTGAGCCAATCTTATAGTTGATATCTATATGTTATCATCTTCAAAAACCATTTTCCAATCCATGTAATGTGGCTTTTACCCTGTCACTTTACTGAGCTTTTTCCCCTCTAAAGTCACTTAGTGATATTTTAATTCCCATATCTAGTGGACACTTCTCAGACTTTATTTCACCTCTTTGATGATTCTCTATCATTTCTCCTTTGTTTTTTGCTCCTGTTTGTTTTACTTATAGCATTTGTGCCCTCATTTCCTTCCCTGAATCCTGTCCCTGGTTTCACCCTTAAAATTACTATTTAAAAAGTGTACTCTTATAGTTTTGAACCAGGCTTATTGTTTAGGCTGTTATTAGGTCCCCACATTTTATCACAAAACATTTAAAAATTATATCTGTGATGTTTTTAATAACAATTAACATAAGGCTAAAAATAAGTCATCTTTGGCATTAGTCAAAGATGATTCCCAGACTTCCATCCTAAGTTGCTGCTGGATTATAATGTTATTTACTAAAATGGGCAATATTAGGATAGAACTTAATTCATTAGTTATAGTAAAGAGTTTTGCACTAGCTATATTATGTTGGAGGACCTATTAGATATCCAGGAGAGATGTCAAGTAGAAAGTGGATATTAGAGTTCAGAGTTTCTGAAAGATAAGGAGAGATTATTGCTCTAGACATGCTTAGGATTTTTTCTACTATCAACTTCTGTAGATTAAAATTAATTTTTTATTTGTGTACCATATAAGAATTTTAAGAATGTACACATGATTTTAGTGTTATCTTAATTTCCTAATCAATGCAAGTATCTCTCCTACCATGTTCATCATAGATATTCTCCTACTTTTTCCTGTGATAGAATATTTACCATCTCATAACACTACCTATAGTTGAATACTTCACATTATTAGAAAATGTATCCTTATCTTTTTTTTAAATATATATTTTTTATTTCAGAGAGGAAGGGAGAGGGAGAGAGAGAGAAACATAAATGATGAGAGAGAAACATTGATTGGCTACCTCCTGCACCTCCATTACTGGGGATCGAGTCCGCAACCCAGGCATGTGCCCTTGTTCGCAATCGAACCTGGGACTCTTTAGTCCACAGGCCAATGTTCTATCCACTGAGCCCAACTGGCTAGGGCTATATTCCTATAGCTGTTTCCCCTCTGGCCCAAACAAAATATATCTACTGCTTTTTTTTTACACTGTTGTTAATGGTAATTTTTAGTTATAAACCAAACTTATAGATGTTATCAGTGTTAAGACTATAAAACTATGCATTTCCAGAATTGTGATTACCACTATTCTTTATCTGTCCAACATTTCATTATGGAAGCTTTAAAACATAATTAAAAGTGGGAAGAACTTTATAGTACATATCCATAAATCTATCATCTATAATAGAATTGGTACTATATTCTATAGTTACTGTATTTTCTTTATTACATATCTATTTACGTATCCCTCCCTCCATTGACCTTATTTTCCTAATGCCTTTTAAATTAGGTTACAGACATCACTACTATTTCAATTGCCTTATCTTCAAATAGTGGTAGTTTTATCACTCTTGTGAATTGTATAGTTTTTCCCCTCATTCATTGATCATTTTTTTGTGTGGCATAATTTCAGTCCTGACCACATGGTTTTTAATACACATCGCAAAATAATGTTGCAGTAAATAAAAACACTCAGCTTAGTTTTTATTAACACAGAGTTTTAGCCCTGGCTGGTTTGGGTCAGTGATCATAGCATTAGCCCACGGACCAAAGGGTCTCAGGTTCAACTCCTGGTCAAGGGCACACACCTCAGTTGTAGCTTTGATCCCCGGCCTTCCTTTGGGCTCCTGTGGAAGGCAACCAATTAGTGTGTCTCGTGTCAGTGTTTCTCTTTCTCTTTCTCTCCCTTTCATTCTCTACAAATCAATGGAAAAAGTATCCTCAGGTGAGGATTCAAAACAAAACAAAAACAAAAGCACACACACAAACCTCACAGAGTTTTAGTGAGGCTGGTTCTTGTTTATTGTGGACTTTATACATATATTCATGCAGTTCTGTAGAGAGGTTTTCTAACTTTGGGGGAGGAAGACATTTTACTCTAGCCTTGCAGTTTCTTTTAGCTGGTCTAATTAGTCAGCATGAGACAGATTAAGAAAAAGAACCAAGTTTACTTACATATTGCATGTATGGGAACCCCAACATATATGACAGAATATGAGATTCCACATACAAGAGTGATTCACAGACAGAAAATGAATATGAGGCATCTATGATATCCTGAGCTAAAGTAGGGTAAAATGTCCTGAGTTGCAGAAGGAGGAGGATAATTTTCAAGATAAGAGCAAGTGTTTAGTAAATATGTTTGCCCTTTCCTATAAATAGATCATAAAAAATTATTTCTGATAAAAGTTTCTCTTGTGCCTTCAACGTCTCAGTTATCTTTAGCTCAAAATAGTCCACATTCCAAAGTAGCATATATTGGAGAGGCCTGTTCTGAACTCCTTTACAACTTCTAAATAACTGTTGATTCATGTTGAAACCTACTATGTTCAGTGAAGACATTAAAAAAACAACTGCTGTTAAATCAGATTCCCCTATTTTCTATTTGTGCAGTTGACTATTGATCCCAATACAGGGTGGGGCAAAATTAAGTTTACAGTTTTTCTTACGGAAAATGATACAATAGTTAATAAATAATACAGATCAAAGAACTTTTATGCATGCATATAAGCCTAATCAATGGACACAGACACCAAGGGGGTGAGGGCATGAATGTGGGAGTGAGGGGGCAATCAGGGGATAAAGACACATATGTAATACCTTAATAAAATATACAAGAATAAACTGATTAGTATGCTCACAACTATAAACCTACTTTTGCCCTATCCTGTAGAAACTTGATATTTCCACAGAATGAGAAAGAAGTGAATTTTAGTGATTTTCGCCAGTGATATATTGACAAATGTTTAACAGCTGATTCTCCAAATGAATGAATAAAAAAATCCTATATAATAAAGAGGTAATATGACCTCCACTCCCTCTTACAAATGGCCGCCCCATGTGGTCACAAGATGGCGGCCACAAGATGGCCAGTAGGAGAGGGCAGTTGTGGGCAATCAGGCTAGGCTGGAGGGCAGTTAGGGGTTACCAGGCCAATAGGGGAAGGTGGTTGGGGGCGACCAGGCCAGCAGGGGAGGGCAATTCGGGGGACCAAGCATGCAGGGGAGGGCAGAAGTAATAGCTTTAATATATGAATCTTTTAATCTAAGAACACTCATTTGTTTTTGTTTTTTTTTAGACTTGTTTTCAGCCAGTCTCTTATATCTCTGGACTTGATTGAAGATTTTCTTGAATTGGCTAGTAGGGAGAAAACAGAAGATAAAGATAAACCTCTTATTTATAAAGGTGAGTAACAAACATTTCTATATCATAAGTTTTAAAAGCATTCATTTATATATCTTGTGTAAACTTTTTAACAGTAAAAGAAAAAATAGCCAGACCCACAACCCTAATATGTCCATGTTTTTCTCCACTTTATTCTTAATCTTATCAATATAATTGAGTTCTTTGTTTTTATAATTTTAACATCAATTATTAAAAATGTTTTAAACAGCTTTATTGAGGCATAATTCATATAATGTGCAGTTGAACCATTTAAAATGTGCAATTCAATGGACATAGTATATGTACAGAGTTGTGAAACTATCAACACAGTCAATATTTGAAAATTTTAATCACCACCAAAGAAACCCTATACCTTTTAACTATGACTATCCTATCTCACCCTTGGACCACTTCCATCCCTAGGCAATCACTAATCTATTTTCAGATTCATATAATATGTGGTTTTTCATGAATGGCTTCTTTCACACAGCATCTTTACAAAGTTCATTCATGTTATAGCATATGACAGTATTTCATTTTTATGATGTAATAAAATTTCATTGTATGGATAAAACCCACATTTGATTATCCATTCATTCATTCATAGATACTTAGGCTGTTTTCACCTTTTGGCTGTTATGAATAATGCTATGAACAGTCATGTACAAGTTTTTATGTATTTAAACATCTGTTTTCAATTCTTTAGGATATATTCTTAGGAATGGAATTATTGGATTATGCAATAATTCTATGTTTAATGTATTGAGGAACCAGCAAACTGTTTTCCACACTGACTACACTTTCACATTCCTGTGAGAAGTGTACAAGGGTTTTAATTTCTCCACATCTTGCCGAAACCAGTTTGGCTCAGAGGATAGAGCATCGACCTGTGGACTGAAAGGTCCCAGGTCTGATTCTGGTCAAGGGCATGTACCTTGGTTGTGGGTACATCCCCACTGGGGGGTGTGCAAGAGGCAGCTGATCTATGATTCTTTCTCACTGATATTTCTAACTCTCTCTTCCTCTCTGTAAAAACTCAATAAAATATATTTAAAAAACTTCACATCTTTGCCAACACTTGCTTTCCTTTTTTACTTAAAAAAAATTATTATTATTATTATTGTTATTATTATTGTTATTATTATTATTATGATGATGATGATCCTAGTGGCTATGAAATGGTATCTCACTGTGATTTTTAATATTTTTAAAATTTGTTTCTGTTTATTCTTATTACCCAGGGAATTAAAAAAAAAAACCTTTATTATTGAAAGTATTATATATGTCCCCCTTTCTCCCACTGGCCCCTATACCCATACCAGGACTCCACCACCCTATTGATGTGCTCATGGGTTACGCATATATGGATTGATATCTATCCATCCACCCAACCTGACCTTCCCTGTGAGATTTGACAGTCTATTCTATGCTTCTGTGTCTCTGGATCTATTTTTTTCAACAGTTTATTTTGTTCATTAGATTCTATATGTGAGTGCAATCATGTGACACTAGTCTTTCTCTGTTTGGCTTATTTCGCTTAGCATAATACTATTCAGGTCCCTCCATGCTGTCTCAAAGGGTGAGAGATCCTTCTTTTTTACTGCTGCATAGCATCCCATGGTATATATACACACAATAGCATTTTTCTTAATATTTAAATTTCAATTTTTATTACTTTTACACTAAATCGTGTCAACAATAATTCTGATTGTGAATTGAAAAATATAGTTTATAACTTCTATACAAATTCTGTACAATAGGGTGTATAATATTCACAATGGACATTTTATCCATTTGGATTTTCAAAATTCTTTATTGTTTAAAGTATTACATATGTCTCCTTTTTTCCAGATAAGCCCCCCAACCCTCCAGCCCACGCCCCACCCCCGTAGTATCTGTCCATTTGTTATGCTTATATGCATGCATACAAGTCCTTTGATTGAGCTCTAACCCCTACCTCCACTTTTCCCTGCCTTCCCTCTGAGGATTGATGGACTGTTCAATGTTTCTGTGTCTCTGGATCTATTTTTTTTTTAAATTTCTTTATTGATTACTAGAGGCCCAGTGCACAAAATTTGTGCACGGGGTTTGGGATGTCCCTTAGCACAACCTGCACCCTCTCCAATCTGGGACACCTCGAGGGATGTTAAACTGCCTGTCATACATCCCACTCACAATCAAGGACTGCTGGCTCCCAACTGCTTGCCTGCCTGCCTTCCTGATTGCCTCTAACCACTTCTGCTGCCAGCCTGATCAACCCCTAACTACTCCCATGCCAGCCTGATTGATATCTAACTGCTCTCCTGCCAGCCTGTTTGCCACTAACTTCCGTCCTCTGCCAGCCTGGCCACCCCTAACTGCCCTCCCCTACAGGGTTGATCTCCAACTGCCTTACCTTGCAGACCTGGTCCCTCTCAACTGCCCTCCCCTGCTGGCTATCTTGTGGTGACTATCTTGTGTCCACATGGGGGCAGGATCTTTAACCACATGGGGGCGTTCATCTTGTGTGTTGGAGTGATGGTCAATCTGCATATTCCTCTTTTATTTGATGGGATAGAGGCCTGGTTCATGGGTGGGGGGCAGCTGGTTTTCCCTGAAGGGTGTCTTGGATCAGGGTGGGGTTCCCTTGGGGTGTAGGTGGCCTGGGCAAGGGGCCTGTGCTGGTTTGCAGGCTGGCCACGCCCCCTGGCGACCCAAGCAGAGGCCCTGGTATATGGAATTTATTTACCTTCTAAATTGAAACTTTGTAGCCTGGAGCGGAGCCAAGGCTCCTGCTCACTCCGTGGCCAGCAGACATTTCTGTTAGGACTTATGTACTTCTATAATTGAAACTTTGTAGCCTTGCGTGGAGGCCTAGACAGACCAGGGTGTGTGGAAAGCTTGGCTTCCTCTATTGCTGGGGAAACCCTAGCCTGTTCTCTCCAGCTCTGTGGCTGCTGCCATTTTTCTTGGGATTTACTTTCTATAATTGAAACTTTGTATCCTTAAGTGGAGGCCTAGGCCAGCCAGGGTATGTGGAAAGCTTGGCTTCCTCTGTTGCTGAGGAAACCCAAGCCTCTCTCAACTGTTCTCTTTGGCTGCAGCCATCTTGGCTGGGGTTAATTTACATACTCGCTCTGACTGGCTGGTGGGTGTGGCTTTAGCAGAGTGATGGTTAATTTGCATATTATTCTTTTATGAGGTAGGAAGGTATCACATATTTATTTGTCTTCATCCCTCCATTCCCATCCCAAACCCCTCCCCATGTATGCCCTCACCCCCCTATTGTCTAAGACCACTGGTTAGGCTTATATGCATGCATACAAGTCCTTTGGTTATTCTCTCCCTTATTCCACCACCCTTCCTACCTTCCCTCTGAGGTTTGACAGTCTTATCAATGCTTCCCTGTCTCCGGGTCTGTTTTTGTTCATTAGTTTATGTTGTTCATTATTTCCCTTAGATGAGTGAAATCATGTGATACAAGAAATACACTTATAAGAACCGAAAATGAGTCAAGCAATAATGGTTATGCTGGGAGGTAAATGAATCAAATCTGTAGTGAGTTTTATTCTGGACCAACAGTTCTTTTGAGTCCCAATTTCAATGTCATACAGTTCCTTATTTGTACATGTCAGCAATGATATTTTAGTTCTGGATGGTGGGCAACTGGTAGCAATGCAAGTTCTACCCTTTCTGGTTCTGTCCTGGGCAACCTGCAGTGATGCACAGCTGCTGACTGTTAGTATGGCAAGGCGTCGTCAGCATCTTCCATCTCTGGACTGCTTCTCTTCTGTCTTAGTGTCTGGAGCAGTCCTGTCAATTCCTCTCTGTTGCAGGAATCCACATGGTCTCGGAGATGTTTTCTGAACATATACAAACATATTCTCCACCAAAAGTTAATAAAGGAATATTTTCTATAAATTTGACTTGGGATCCTTTTTCATTTTTGCCCAAATGATTTTCCTTTGACACCATGTGTTTTTTTCATAGGTGTCTTGATATTAGCATTAAAAATGAAAGTTAATTTTCTAAAGTAAAAATTTTCTAGATGTAATTTACTTACAGGATATTTTTCCTTACATGATATTCTTCTACTATCCCCCCTGAATCTATTTTTGTTCATCAGTTTATGTTGTTGATTATATTCCACATATAAGTGAGGTCATGTGATAATTATCTATCTCTGACTGGCTTATTTTGCTTCGCATAATGTTCTCCAGGTCCATCCATGCTGTTGCAAGTGGTAAGAGTCCCTTCTTTTTTACAGCAGCATAGTAATTCCATTGTGTAGGTGTAACATAATTTGTTTAATCTACTCATCTGCTGATGGGCACTTAGGGTGTTTCCAAATATTGTAATTGTGCTGCTCGCTATGAATATAGGGGTGCATACATTCCTTCTGATTGATGTTTTGGGGTTCTTAGGATATATTCCTAGAAGTGGGATCATTGGGTCAAAAGGTAGGTCCATATTTAATTTTTGAGGAAACTCCATGGTGATTTCCATAAAGGCTGCACCAATCTGTATTCCTACCACAGTGTACTAGAGTTTCCTTTTCTCCTCATCCTTGCCAGCACTTATCATTTGTAGATTTGTTGATGGTAGCCATTGTGACAAGTGTGAGGTGATACCTCATTATTGTTTTAATTTGCATTGCTCTGATGATCATTGACATTAAACATTTTTTCATATGTCTCTTGGCCATCTGCTTGTCCTCTTTGGAGAAGTGTTTGTTTAGGTCCTTTGCCATTTTTAAGTTGGATTATTTGTCTTCCTTTTGTTAAGTTGTATGAGTTCTTTATGTATTTTGGATATTAACTCTTTATCAGATATATCATTGCCAAATATATTTTCCCATATAGTGGGTTCCCTTTTCATTTTGTTGAAGTTTCTTTTGCTGTGTAGAAGCTTTGTAATTTGGTGTAGTCCCATTTATTTATTTTCTCCTTTGTTTCTCTTGCCTTAAGAGATGTATCTATAAACATTGCTACAAGAGATGTATGGGATTTTGCTGCCTATGGTTTCTTCTAGGATTTTTTGTG